ATATTCATACTTGAAGGAACTGTTAAATTTCGTTAAGAATTAGTAAAGATAGGGGCGCCTGGGTGGCTCAGTGGGTTAAAGCCTCTGTCTTCAGCCCAGGTCACAATCCCAGGGTCCTGGGATCCAGCCTGCTTCCTCCTCTCTCTCTGCCTGCCTCTCTGCCTGCTTGTGATCTCTGTCTGCCATATAAATAAATAAAATCTTAAAAAAAAAAAAAAAATAGTAAATATAAAGATGTCATTTATCTCCATTCCAGTTCACAAATCCCCTGAATTTCATTCACACACCCCAGGTTAAGGACTACAGACATAGATGGTTCCTTCAACTCCTGCCCTCTCAATCCCTTGACCTGCTCTCCATCAAATATCTTGTCATTCATTTTATCTTAAGCCCATATCCATAGTCAAACCCTAGAGTTCAGTATTTTCAATGCTTGCAACCCTGTCAAAATCTCAATTTCAAGTATCCCATTCTTCTAAGACTATCCCTCTAGTATCCCAACTCTAAGAGCTAGTTCTTTTACACCCACTAAGACCTCAGGATTCTACCATCTTTTCATTATACTCCACCTACTTCATGTCCTCACTCCCTCCTAATCCATCTTCAGTTCCACCTTCAATTCCCTTGCTCTTTTCTTCCTTCACAGAATTTATTTGATAAACCACAACTCTGATCAAACCAGTTTTGATTCTCTGGGCCTGCAACCTTGCAGCTTCATTTAAACCGAGAAAAACACATCGAGATGCTGACTAGTCTCACTTTAAATTCATAACCATAATCTCAACAATGTCCTTAATGCTTCACAGCAATTTTACTACATTTCTCTAATACATTCAGTATCCTGTTCTCCTGGATAAATATTCCATAATTTCTTGTCTCCTCTTAATCCCTAATGACTCATCTTGCCATCTTCCATTCCAATAAACATCATATAACCTCCTGCAAACTCCTACAACCCAAATATCTGCCCACCTGCACCTCAGGATCATATAATCGTTTTTATTTCCTCTTTTATGAATGAACTTGAGAAATTTTCCTTTTCTCTACATAATCATTCCCTCTTTATCAAATAAAACAAAACCTCGTCTGATTCCACTCTGCCTATAGCAACTGATCATTTACTTTTTCAAAAAAGTCTTTAAAATAATTATCTATGTCCTCTTTTCTCCCATTGCTTTTCAAACCTACTCCAATCAGGTTTTTGCCTATATTCCATATGCCACCATGACTTCAGCACTGCTTGTCAAGGACACCAACAACCTCCTCATTGATAAATCCAATGGCCAGTTTTCAGTCCTCTTATTTTGACTTGGCAGCATTTTTCTCTTGAAATAAATGCTTCCTTTTCTTAGCTTCTAGGATATTTGTCTGGTTTTCCTTTAACTGTCTTACCTCATTATCCTTTGCTATCTCTTCATCATCTTTCTGACCTCCCTAACCTCCTGGAGTGCCCAAAGGCTCAGTTCCTTAAGCCTCTTTTTTTTTTTTTTTCCGAATCTCTTCTTTATTCTCTCTATATTCCCTCACCCCAAGCAATTTCATATAATCTCCTGGCTTTAAATGTCATCTATATATTAATGATTCCCAATTTTATAACTCCATGATTCATATCCCTCTCCTGAATTTCAGACTTGCATATCCAATATGTTATACAACATATCAAGTTTAACAAGTCCAACTGAATTTAAGATATACACTGACCCATAGTACGGTCCTCCTCCAGGTTTTCCATCTCAGTTAATACCTGAGTCTTTCTTATCTCAACTCATGGCTGCTTTCTTCTAGTTGTCCAGGCCTCAAGCTTGGAGTCATCATTGATTTGATCCTGTGTCTTCTAAAATCTACCATCTGGCCGCAGTTCTCTTTCCAACCTCACCTTCCATTACACTCCCTTTCTTTCATGAGTTCCAGCCAGGGCAGTCTTCTTGCTGTCTCCCAAACACTCTTAGCTCACATCTTCATACTTAAAGATTTCCACCTGGAAATCCTTTCCTTCAGATGTCAGCTTACCTTCCTCATTTTCCTTAGGTCTTCACTCAGTATTTTTTCCTTCTTAGAACTTATCATTATCCAACGTACTGTGATTTTTATTTATTTATCTGATTGTGTATATCCTCCACGAGAATGCAAGCTTTGTGATGACAAGAATTTCTCTTTTGTTCAGTGTTGTACTCCTAGCACCTAGATCAGTGCCTATTATATGATCGGTACTTATAAAAATATTTGGTGAATGGAAGAGTGAATAAGGGAAAATGTAGAAAGGCAACTGTGGACATAACTAAGAAATAAAAACAAAATGTAAAGAAAAGAACAATTAAAAAGGAAAATCTCTTGAAAATTAGAAGTATGACTGCTTGTAATTTTTAAATCAGTTGAAGGAAAAGAAAGCAAAATTGGAGAGATCTCATAGAACTTAGAAAAAAACAGAAAAAGAAGGAAAAAGAGAAAGACAAGAGAAGTAAAGAACCAATTACAAAAAGGCAGGGGTAGGGAACAGGAAGAGAAATTAAGGAAATAATTTATTGAATTTCTCTAAGCTGAAGGTGTGTCTTTAAATTGAAAGCAACCATTAAATATCAAATAAGGATAAGGAAGGAGGATCCACAGCTTAGGACATTATTATAAACTTCTTAAAATAGAAAGGATAAAGAGAAGATCATATCACTTTCATTGAGGAAAAATCTTAGGAAAGAAAAAGAAAAGAACAAGAAGCAGACTGCTTCCCAAAATTCTCCCAAAATTAATCAGTGATAATTTTTTTAAAGATCCTTAAATCATTCCCTAAGACATAAAATCGTACTTATAAATTTGATGCCCCATATTTCCCTTTCCCAATTCCACCATCCATCGTTCTGAAGGAAAATGATTTTTTTAAATATTTTATTTATTTATTTGACAGAGACAGAGACAGCGAGAGAGGGAATACAAGTAGGGGAGTGGGAGAGGGAGAAGCAAAAGCAGGCTTCCTGCTGAGTGGGGAGCCTGATGTGGGGCTCGATCCAGGACCCTGGGATCATGACCTGAGCCACCCAGGTGTCCCTGATTTTTGAAACCAGAATTCCACATCCAGCTAAATTATTAACCAAATATGAGGGCAACATAAAGTAACTTTCAAATAGGTAAGGATTCAGAAATTTTACTTCTCAGACACATTTTCTGGCATAATTACTTGAAGATATTCTCCAATAAAACCAGGATGTAAACTCAGAAAGAGGAAGATGCAGAACTAACCACGAAAAAAGAATCCTAATATGAGAGATGTACAATAGCTCAAGAAATTAACCAACAGACTGGAAGAAAAAAAGAAGAAAAGAATGGAATATATTCCAAGCAACAGATACAAAGACTAAGGAAATGGATAAAACTGATCATTTGGTTTAAAAAAAATTGATTTTTTTTCACAATAAGACAAAATAACAGTAATTAGAAACTCCAGAAATACAAAACCTGGATAAGAAAGCCATGGTTAAATATAAAGCAAACTAAAATGTGACAGTATTTTGAATAATAGACAAACAGTAATATTAGGAAGTCTTCTTTGAATGCGGCAAGGGTTGAAATACTGAAACAATGGGTGAGAAAATAGAATTAGAAAACACTAATTATCTCTACATTTACATTATTTACAACTAGAAACAGAATTGGTTAAAAGGGCCTTTGAAGGGTACCTGGCTGGCTCAATTGGTAGAGTCAATTGAGCTTGATCTCAGGATTGTGAGTTCAAGCCCCACATCAGGTGTGGAGCCTACTTAAGAAGGGGGGGGCACTTCGAAAAGTGGGATTTTTAGAAAAAGTGTTTACATTTTACATTTGATTAAAAATGAAACATAAAACAAAATAAGAATAGATGCAGGAGTTACTAAGTGTGGTGGGCAAAGGTGTGATGAGGAACAGAGTATTTACATAGTCTCAAAGTATCTGCTCACAAATTCATTATTAGTTGCCAAGGAGAAAACAGTAACTTCAGTGGGCAAACCTGGCAGACCATATCTTAAGTAGCCAAAGGTAGTCAACATGGGCCATGCAGTTTCAATAGGAAGCAAAGTAAAACAAAAAGGTGTTAAAAAATAGAGGGAAAGAGAGCAAGAGTCAGAACGTCTTAATAAAGGAGAAAAAATAGGGGCACCTGGGTGGCTCAGTGGGTTAAGCCTCTGCCTTCAGCTCAAGTTATAATCTCAGGGTCCTGGGATCAAGCCCCACATCGGGCTCTCTGCTCAGCAGGAAGCCTGCTTCCCCCTCTCTCTCTGACTGCCTCTCTGCCTGCTTGTGATCTCTCTCTCTGTCAAATAAATAAATAAAATCTTTAAAAAAAAATAAATAAAGGATAAAGAATAGATGGGTGACACTCCGCTATCCCCTTAGATGTAGAAGAGTATCCAAATTTAGATGGCAGTGCTGATGACTGGGAACAGTATTTTTCTATCATATTTAATAGCAAGTGTCATTTTAATATACGAGAAGTTTCAATACAGATTTATTTTGGATTATTCTTTGCTTTTTTTAAAAGATTTTATTTATTTATTTGACAGACAGAGATCACAAGTAGGCAGAGAGGCAGGCGGAGAGGGGTGTGGGAAGCAGGCTCCCTGCCGAGCAGAAAGCCCGATGCGGGGCTCTATCCCGTGACCTGGTACCATGACCGAAGCCGAAGGCAGAGACCCCAACCCACTGAGCCACCCAGGCACCCCTATTTTGGATTATTCTTATTCCAAAAAAATCTGTTTTATATATAAAGCCCAACACCATTTACAGAGAAACTAGCAATCAATGTATTCAATTTATTCTACAAATAATATATGGTTCTAAAAATTATTCTTTGAAGAGTTAATGCAAACACTTTGATAGGGCTATCAAAAGCAAAGACAGCAGAAATAACAAAAAAATTTAGACTATTATCTTCCTTTCTTAACCCAACTCTGTATATTCTTAATGGGAGGAAAGACATTTACATTGTGAATTTATTTCCCCATCAGAAACTAAAAATTATAACATCTACTTACCAACCCAATACAGTTGCTTAAAGCCACTTTAGTTGTACTACGTTGATCTTGCAAGTATCCTGTGTAATGACAGTTGTCTAAAAAATCATGTTTCCACTGGGGTCCATCTTTCCCCCAATATTCTACTGTAAAATGTTTGGACACGAAATCTGTGTTGAGAGTCAAGTTTAGGTGAAAGTGCTTGCCATAGGCTGAAAGTTTAAAAAATAACTTAGATACTGCCTGCTGTGGATCGATAGGGTCCATACTCCGTCTTCTCCTGGAGTGTTTATCATTTTTCACAGTAAAGCTGAGAAAAGCTCCATTTTGATCAACCCTTATTGGAATAGTTAGCTGGTAGTGTTCTAGATAAGTCAGGAATTCCTCTTTGTAATCACAAGGCAGAGAATCCAGAAAAAACACATGGAAGAAAAGAAAATTTAACAGAACGAAGAAGTAGCAGTATAAACAACAAAAACTATATCAGCATCATTATATGTGAGATATGAATAAAAACTGTTATATTAAACAAAATGAAGCTTAAAATCTAATGATGAATTAAGTTCCAATTGTTCCTCAAAATAGGATTATTTTAAAATTAGTTTGAAAGACTATTTTTTGTTTTTACATTTATTTCTTACTGGATTCTAAAAGCTAAATTCTTATAGGAAACAGGAATATTTTATAGTGAAATAAAAAACAGTGAAAAGTACACATATTTAAAATAATAGATAAAATAGATAAAATGTTTTTTAAAGTTATCCAAAGGAGTTAATATTGAATTTCTACAGCCTTGTAGAAATATTTTTTAAATTGTCAGTTGGAATGGAAAATACAGAAGCCATTTCAGAAAGCAGTCTGGCAGTTCCTCAGAAGGTTGAACATGGAACTACCATCGGACCCAGCAATTCCACTCCTAGGTATTTACCTGAGAAAACACATATCCACACAAAAAGTTGTACATGACTGTTCATAGCAGCATTATTCATAATAGCCAAAATGGAGAAATAATCTGAATGTTTATCAACTGATGAATGAATAAATAAAATGTGGTATATTCACACAATGGAATATTATTCAACACAGAACTGATACATGTATGACATAAATGAAACTTCATAATAACTGCCTTCATTATTAAAGCTCATTATCTAACATTCTAAAAACATTATGCAACGTGAAAGGAGTCAATCACAAAAGACCACATAGGATGTGATTCGTTTTGTGGGAAATATTCAGAATAGGAAAATCTCAAGACATAAGTAGATTAAGGCTGTTTAGGGCTGGGGTGGAGAGTGGTTTGGAGAGAATTTGGGAGTAATTGTTAATGGGCACAGGGTTTCTTTAGGGGTGTTGAAATGTTCTAAAATTGATTGTGGTGATGGTTGCATAACTCTGCAAATATACTACAAACCATTGAATGGTGCACTTTATATAAGTAAATCATATCATATATTTATTGTATCTCAATAAAGCTGTTTAAAAAATCTTAGATTGACAAAAAATTTAAAGTATTATTACACATATTTTCCTCATTTATGTATACTTAATGGTTCCAATCTACCTTCTTAACCACATCTTCCTTTAGTGAGGTTTACCACTAAGGGAAACCAAATGTCTGTCCATTGCCTCACTGTCTATACATGGAGTTCACCCACAAATATAAACTCTCATGAGAGTATGACCAAATAGAAATAAATTAAAAGGCAGTATTTATTTCATCTCTTATAAGTAAGAGTTCATACTAAATGCTACAGCTTTATTAATAAACTTTGAGAGCCACATTGTATACATACAGACTTCTAGACATATACATCAACATAGAAAGGCTTGAAAGTTTGGCTCATCCACACCAAAAAATTATTGGTTACCAAACATTCATGGGAGAGCAATCAAAAAAAGACATTTTAATAAATCTATAAAGATTGGCCATGTCCTTGGAAAACAAATGTCATTCACTCCATGGATCTCTGTTAAGATCTTTTCTATAATATAAAGTTCAATTCTATATGGCGTCTGGTTTCAATTCTGCGGTGGCTCAGTCTGTTAAGCTTCTGCCTTCGGCTCAGGTCATGATCCCGGAGTCCTGGGATCAAGCCCCCCATGGGGCTTTCTACTCAGTGGGGAACCTGTTTCTCCCTGTCCTCCCAGCTCATTTTCTCTATTGCTATCTCTCTCTCTCTCACTCTCTCTCTCTCAAATAAACAAATGAAATCTTAAAAATAAATAAATAAATAAATAAAGTTCAATTCTATGGATTCAAATTAGGAACCCGTGGATTAGAGTTTGAAAAGTTGTACTTCTTACCTCTCTTACTCTTTTACTCAGATTCTAGTTCTTATATCAGAATTCTTAAGCTTGGAAAGTATTTTTATCACTTAGCCTCCATATTAGAGGGAACTTGTATCAGAATATGTCTAGTTTTTTGCTCTTTTATAGCATAAACCCTTGGATTCCTTTTGAACATGACCTTGCCTGTAACTCTTAGCAATAAATGAGCTTGTTAAAGTTTAGGATTCAAAATAAGAGGTCTGAGTCTATCATCTAAGAAAGATCAGTCAACTGTAAAATACACTAGATGTTAAATACTAGTATAACAAGTTAGACTACTTAGAACCCTCAAGATTTATGAAACTAGCACTCTATTGGTACAGTGGGCCTCCACTTCTATCACTACATATCCCAGAGAAAACATTCACCCAAACTAAATATTCAAAATCTTTTCTCATCAAATTAATAGCAGTATTTTTTGGTCATTTTCACAAGCAGGACTCCTACCTTGAGAACTGTACGAAAGCCTGTGGTCACTATGAAATTCCGATGAAGCCATGATGAGGCTCAAAATCCAGGTCAACGTCTTCCACAAAATTTCCATAATTTAGAAAACTGGATGATTTTTTTGGAGGGCTACCTATGTGCTAGAGAGTCAATACCATACCAAAATCGAAGCATAACAATTTTATTTCTGTAAAATTTCTTGCAAATTAATTATTAGATGTTCCACTGTTCAACAGGTACTTTTTTCCAACATCCCATACTTTCTTCTGTATCTGGATTCATTTTTTCAATCCAAAAGGAAACAAAAGAATGATGGTAAAATTTTCACAAGCAAAGCATTTGACTGACTAGTTACTAAAGTATGGCCATTTTTTAACCTAGAAAAACAAACAAACAAAATTTATGTTAAATGAAAAATATTGATGCATGTTTATCAAAAGACAAAAAATACAGTATGATTTAATATACACTATTACACTATTTTGTTCTATTACACTATTTTGTTCTTTATAGTCTAAAAACATTCACAAGACTAAACAATCAGAAACCTAAATGGTAAGCAGGATAATGCCAGAGCTACTTAATAATCAAAGAAAGAATCTAAAGTGAAATCATAAAAATTATTTTTTTAAGCTTTGAAGAAAAAATGTGTGGGTACAGTGACTAACCTCCTTTCAATAAAATAAAAGGTAGAGTGACTTCACAACCAAAATTCATTTTATGTAAGGGATAAATAGTATAAAATTCCCATTCCTTGACGTGCTTTTTAGAAACACTCATATTCAAGATTGATTTGTTGCTATACAAGACACTTATTATTTTTTCTTAGAGTATATCTGCAAATACAGAGTGACACTTAGCAGCAGTCTGTGAACACTCAGACACTAGCACAAAATAAACTTCTAAAAATTTAAGCCATATTTACCTTACCCCTTGATTTTATCTGTAAGTCTTATATGACTTAAAAAGGAATACATATGAGACAACTTCACCTATCTAGAATGTAACTGAAAATAAAAGCTGTTCATTTTCTGAAAAAGAAAGAATTTTTAAAAATTCATTTCAGGTATCACAACAGATTTCCTGTCCTATCTCATGCACTTTCTTTTCAACTCACAACCTAACTCACAGTCCATGAATTTACATTTCGTACCAAATGCTAGCATATGTGACTACCTGATTTCCCAGCACATAGTACTTTGGAAGAAAAGAGCAAAGGAACTAAGAAACTACGTCACTAACAGCACAAAACCGAAGAAAAAGAAAGACAAACTAGAAATTAGTGACAGAACCCCAAAGTAATACAGTTTGGGGTACAGGCAAATGGCCCTTAAATAGTCTGACAGTTCCTATAGTGTTATAGCTCAATATTTGATATTCAAAACACTGCCTGAGTCAGGAATAAAAGATTCAATTGTTTTTAATAATATAACTTATTACTAATATAGAGAAGTACACAAAAAGTACTAGAAAGATTTTCATTCCACATTCCTAATGTATGGGATTAAATAATAAATGTTTACATATATGTTGGTCAAAAAAATGAGTAAATGAATGAATAAATACTGATTAAAAGAACATCACTTTAGGCATATAAGAGGATATTTGTAGTTGATTGAAAAATTAATTTATGTGGAATACTTCATTCCCTATGGTGCTAAAAATGTTGGTTATTACAACAAATAAAACAACTACAATCATTTAAAACTTCTTCCATCCAAAAACTAATTTATTAATCAATAAATATGATTTACTATGTTCTTAAAATGCTGTTATGAGGCTACAGAAAAGATTAACACAATCCTTGCCATTTGAGAGTTCATAATCTAAGCAAGAAAGAAAAAAAATTCAAGGCAGAATGACATTTGCCATAATAAAATTATGAAATGGCATTGAGGAGATCAGATGAGGGAAATGACTTCTGAATTAGAGAAGGATGGATCAAGAAAGGCTTATTTAAAAAGTGGCATTTGAGATAGGCCCTGGAAGATGAACACAATTTCACAGTTCAAATCAATGGGAGCAATCACTGCAAATTAAAGACATATATTCTACAAAGTCTAGATGGGAAGGAAAAAATAGAAAGTCATTTCAGTAATAATAATAAGTTTGGTTCCTATGGAGAAGACCAACAGGTAATATCTAGAAAGTTAGTTTGAGGTCAGACCAAAAATGAAGAGAATTTTAAATATATGTTACTTCTTTTAGTATTCACAACAATCTTATAAAGTGGATATTATTGCTGCTATGTCAGGCAGCCTCTAGGATGGCCCCAATGAGCCTGCCTCCTGATATCCACACATTTGCATAATTACCTTCCCTTGAGTAACTTGAAAAATGTTACCAATAAAGTGTTGAGAAAATGTCACGTCAATGATTATATTATAAAAAATTCTGATTTCTATCTTACTAGTAGACTCTCTCCCTTTTGGTTTTGATAAAGCCAGCTGTCATACAGAAGGGCTCACATGGCAAACAACTGAGAGCAGCCTTCCAATAACCACTAACAAGGAACTAAGGCCCTCAATGTAATGGCCTTTGAGAACTGAACCCTGCCCACTAATATGTGAGTTTAGAAGCAGATCCCTCACTAGTCGAGCATTCTTTGGTGACCAGAGCCCTTGCCAACATCTTGCTTGCAGCCTCATGAAAGACCCTGAAGCACAGAACATAGCCACACCAAGCCCAGTTTCCTGATTCGGAGAACCGTGAGATAATAAATGTATGTTCTTTTAAGCCACTAAGTTTATGGTGACTATTTTTTTTGCAAGAATTGATAACAATACGGCTCCCAATTTACAGATAAGACAGTTGAAGCTCATAGTGGTCACAAAGCTAGAAAATAGCAGAGCCAAGAGTCTTACAGAAGGCTCTCTGACTCTTAAGTCTAAATTCCTTCTACCATATCATACTTCCAGTTTAAGGCACTCTAACTTGAATATTCAATAGTAGACCCATGTAACCACTGTCAAATAATATGATCATAATAAATGGTTAAATTAATTAATGTGAATAGTTTTAAGCAACTTTACACACAATAATTGTTTCATCTCAAAATTATTTCTACAATGATTTAGTTAAGACATATGCTTACTCAGGCAAAAATCTATAAAGAGATTAAGTCACACCATTAGTCAATAACTAACTAAAGGAAAGAATCCAGTTATCTTTATTCCTAACCTACTTACATACAGTGTCCATATTCCAAAACTTCCCATGAGATATTAAAGTGTAACTGTCACTTCATAAACAAGATTCACTCTCCAGATGGCTTGAGTGTTTTGCATAATAATGTCTGACATTAAATGAGTCCCATATATGCCTTAATCTTCCTCTAAAGAAGAACATTTAATTAACACATTTGAGCTCCTTTTCGATTAGCGGTGATATATTTGTATGACTCCTTCATCCTTTTTTCCCATTTTCCTGGGCTCTGAAACTAATGACAAACTTAAAGTTGTCTGGGTTTAAGGAACACCTATTTTCTCCTCAAGAAATTTCCTACTCTTCAGTTTTGTAAACTTCACTCTTACAATTATCACCACTGTCCAGTAAATGCCCAAATTAAGTAAACAAGTACCACTGAGAGAAAAAGTAATATGTAACTACTTGGCCAGAAGTAGACTAACATTTGATTTAAGAACTTGTAGTAAAAAGTTGTATTGGTACATAATAGAAAGAGCGGGACCTTTAAAAAAGTTAAACCAAACCTTGTTTCCACCACTAGCTATAGTATCTGGCACATGGACATGCAATAAATTTGAGTTTCTTTCTCCTTTCTCACACCTATCCTCACTCCCCACTTTTTTCTCAATCTTCTGGAGCCAGTGAAGAAACTTTAGTAAGTAAATGAGTTGACCGAGGTCAACTAAAATCAACAACAACTAACATAACAACCTCTCTTAGTTACCTACACAATAAAAATGAATAGTTAACCTACTTTCTGACACCTGCTAGAGAGGTTGATCTGGATATTATAAAGAAATGTATATAAACACTGACTTTTTCAAATATAGTTTCCATAATTCAAACTAACATTAAAATATTACATAACTATTCATAAATCATTATGTATTAACTCTTTATATTGTATAGGAGTAGCATTATTACCTAGTGGAAAGGACAAAGGCTTGGAGTTCTGGCTTGACTCCAAGTTACTTAACCTCTCTGGATATTTTTCCTCATCAATAAAACCAAGATAATGATATCTACCTCACAAAGACTTGTCAATTAAATCAGATTACACATGATGTAAAATGTCCGCACACTTCACTTTAATGACTAAGGAAATATTAACCCCCCCTTCTTATCTTATTCATAAGGAGTACGATACTTTTCAAAGGGTTTCCTTAAAAAATAGTTTCATGTTCTTGCATTTCATGCAAAATGTGGAATAGTTAAATATGATGATAGGAATCAATCAATAACATTGTATTGTCTTTAGTGCAAATAATAAAGAATGTAGGTCATGATAATTGGGCTTACAAATATTTTAAATTTAAAAATTCCATTTTCTTTGATTTCACATATGCTTTTTTTCCAAATACAGATGTACCAGCCAGTAAAGTTAAGGGATTGTTTACCTCCTTCCATGGATCAAAGGTACACTAGCTAAGTGGAAATAAGATCAGACAACTTGCTCTATAGTTACTGCCTCAGTAGTTTCCCTGGTTGAAGGGTTCTTACTTGTCTTTTTCCTTTATCATCTTTACTTCCTACTCAAGTGATCTGGGAGTAGCCAAGGTAATAATTTCCTCTCATGAACTATTATTATGGAGCTAAAGAACATGTATAACATCCTACTCAACTTCTTTCATCCATCTTAACTCTGGTTCTTTATTTTAAGGCTGATTTGGTCTTCAGAGGAAGCAACAATACTCTGTTCCCTTCAAGTATTTAATTTCTATATGTGAAAATTAACTTCTCATTTCATTTTCCATTTATTCTCTCAACAAACATTTAGAGTCACCTACTATATGCCAAGGACACTACTAGGCTATAAGTACAAAGGTTTCCAGATCATTTATAAACTTTGTGAGATTAGTGTCCCAAGGTATAATTGAAAACACTCAAAACTCACCTATCAAGAAAATCAAATGAGCCCAAAGCAAACATACAAAACATCATTCTACAAAAATCAAGCCCCAAATTACATATATTCCCAAACTGTCTTTTCCAGATGGCAAGTATAATACACTATCTGTATTATAACTTCTCTGTTGAAAAGCAGAAACACCTTTTTCTTCTGAGGCTATTACAAAATGTTGTAATCAACTGTCTTTTGGTAGAACCAAGAGAACTATCCACCTCTTCTGGCTTTTCTTCTCCTCCTAAGAATGTGTTAGTAATTTTCTTAATATGTTAACTCTAT